TTAGCCGCAACATAGTAAGGCGTTTTGATTGATTTGCGGTGACCGCCTGTTAGTTACGATTACCGCCGGGCCTGTGTTTGACGGAGATTCCTGCCGGACTTGTATCTCGCTCAAACTACTTCCGAGAACCGCTTCCGGATTACTTCCGGAACCCGTACTTCCGAATTTTCGTTTTCCGCCGTTGGCCACCCTGCTTTCCCCCTCCACTCACGCGCGCTCCTACAAAACTACGCGGGCCGGACACGGAAAAATTAGTTAGCCGCCGAGCGTCCGAAATGACGGACCCGACGGAAAGAGTCCCGACGCGCCCACGGGTGACGCCTCCGCCCGCCAAACCACCCCTAGTCGGGGTAACTCCGACACGGCCACCGGGCTCCACGGCGAAACGAGGCGACGCGGAGAAATTTTGGCGGAAGGCCATGGCCCGCCGGACCAGGAATAATCCGGAAAGGATCCGCCGCGGGCTCGACGGACCACGACGACCACCGGAGAGTATCCCGGTGGTGCACCTCTCCGAGGAGGAGAACGAGCCGCCGACCGACGCCACCCCTTCCTCCGCTCCAACCGCCGGGCCCACCATCAGGCTCGTCGAGGTCTACCCGCGCCATACCTTCCGGCTGCTGCGACCACAGGGGAGCAAAGGAAGGTCCGCCGTTTCTGCGACCGGGGCCGCTGCCCCGAAACCGGCGGAAGTAGTAGCCGCTCGACCGACCGTTCAGCCCCCGGCACCAAGGATGAACAGCGCACCGGCCGCCACCACCCCCGGGCCCGTGCCAGCCGTAGGGGACGCCCGATCCGACCCCGTCTCCTCGGGAAAAACAGCGCCGCGGATGCCCCGCGACCCATTTTGCATACGACCGACGGCACCGAGGGAGGAACGGGACGTGGTGGTGGATGGGTGCCTGATCCGGGTGCCCATCGGCAGTAAGCGCTGGCGCACCCGGATCGGGCGAGTTAAATACGCCCTCCGCCTCGACCCGGCGACCGGCGACGTAAGGCACTGGTCGAAGCGCCAATTATAATCGTAAGTA